AATTCAAAAATTAAAAATCTTTTTTTTCAATTAGTGGCTCATAGAAATAATAAATGGTCATTTTTAATTGTCCACTAACAATGAAAGTGCTCTATTGACTTTGATTGCTTTCGTGTCATTTTTTTTTTTCTCAAAAAAATCTCAGTATAGGAAAAAATGTAAGTAAATAAAATAAATTAGATTTAAATTATACTTTCATTGAAATAATTTTATTCCATTAAATTTACTGAATTTTCATCTGGTGCCAGCCTKTATCATCAGATACTGAGTTTTGGTTACTGTAATAGAGACTTAATGAAATAAAAATCTTTAAAAGAATATAGGAATTTGCTACTTGGGAATTTATAAAGAAGATATAGAAAGTAATTAGAGAAAATGACAATGACTATCATTTGAAGTAAACAGTAAAACATATGAGAAAGGAGAGATCATTATGTTAAAGAAGATAGGAGTGGAAAGTTTCATAATTGTTTTGCATTTAGATAGATACAATACCTTTACTTATTTATTTTATGTGGTGCTTAGGAGGATCAAACCCAGTGTCTCACGTGTGCTAGGCAAGCACTCTACCACGAGCTCCAACTCCAGCCTATGTTTTGCATTTTTTGATCGTTTAAAAATACACAATTTGAATTAAATCCTTAAAACAGAAAGTAGAAAATATAAAAACTAAAGGCATTCTTCTACATGTAARCTTCCATTTTCCAAAGCCAAAATTTTTATATCAACAAATTTTTCTTAAGTTATATGTTTTTATTACATGCACTAGTAATTATATATCTCAGTACTTGTAAAAACAAACTTAGGAAAATCTCATTTTTGATCATTCCTTGTGATTGTCATGATTATTTATTTTGTAAATAGGGAATAGTGCCTACAGATCAGCTGCATCTAAAACAGTGAATATTTACTTCCCTAAAAAAGAAGCTGTCACTTTTGACCAAGCAAACCCTACACAAATATTAGGTAAGCCTTTTTTAATTAATTTTTTTCACAATCCACATACTGTTGGAAACACTGTGAAAGCTGTTTTTCTAAAATGTGAGAAATTGGGTACTTGTATGAATAGAGGCTTCTATTGTGGTATTATACAGCTACATTTACTACAAATGTAAAATTTGGTAATGGGCCCTTAATACTTTGTAAGATACCTTACCAAATAAAGGATAAATATTTTATTATGACTTTAATGAGAATAAACTATAGGAGGGAAATGTAAGTTCCACCTTATAGTCATTTCATGTTGTCAGAAATAAGAAAGTGAATGAGTAAAGCATTTGAAAAACAAAGATCTTATTTTTTTTTTAAAGAGAGAGAAGAGAGAGAATTTTTTTAATATTTATTTTTTAGTTTTCAGCGGACACAACATCTTTGTTTGTATGTGGTGTTAAGAATCGAACCCGGGCCACACTCATGCCAGGCGAGCGTGCTACCGCTTGAGCCACATCCCCTGCCCACAAAGATCTTATTTTTAAAAAATTAGTGGCTCATAAAAATAATAAATGGTCATTTTTAATTGTCCACTAAAAATGAAACTGCTCTAATGACTTTGATTGCTTTCATGTTTTTTTTCCCCTCAAAACAAATTAACAGTGTTGTTTCAGACTAAGAGAATTACTGTCTCTACCACAAAGATTATGGTGAGAATTAATTGAGATAATGTAACATTTGTACCTAAATATAAGGCAGGGTTTTTGTTTGTGTGTTTTGGTTGCTATTATCCTTCATATTACCTTTGTAAAAATCACTGATATTGATAGCAATTTTCTTCATTTTTTTGAAGAAAAATATATATGCACACTTTTGTACAAATATGAGATTTCTTGTCTTTTGTATTCTTAAAAAATTTTGTTTTAAATAGAATATTAGTGTTAAAATTTTAATACCAAAGAGTAATGAAATAGGTCCAAGGCTATTTATGATTGATAAAAATTTGTTTATGTTCTTTAATCTCTGTGATGGAAATTTCAACTTTTTTATTCTCAGAGTAAGAATTTTTGAAGAAATGGTATTAGATGACTCAAAGTTTTTGTGATAATAAGGACATAGATATTAAAGATACATGTGATAACTCTGAAGGAAATTATAAACACGAAAGTCAAAGTAATATTTTATTAAGTTTTAAAAATATTGTATGTCAAATATGCATATTGAACTCAGTATATTTTAAGTCAGTTAATGCTTGTTTCATTGAGTCATAGAAGTTGGCATAATTTGACCAAAAATTTGTTATAAATTTTCTCATTGGGAAAGTAGGAGTTTGACTTTTACTTGGGTATATGTAACATGATGTTGCTTTGAAAATCATTCAAAATGGTTACAAATACAGTATACTTTATAACTAATTAAAATATATCATTTTCTATTAAAAAAAGAAAGTGTCACAGGGTAAAATTAAAATGATCACAGTTATCTTTTTTTTTTTTTTTCAATCATATAGTACTTAGCCAAGAAATACTCACAACCCTTATTTTTATTTCATGGTCTAGGCCAATTGCTGAGAAAAGTCTTAATGTCATACAGTAGAATGTTCTTACTGAAGAAAAAAAAAATGCTTTTTATGATTATCGGCTAACTGTAGTTAAGAGGATTCTGAAGATTTCTCTTTGGGTTTTAGGTAAACTGAAGGAGCTTAATGGAACTGCACCTGAAGAGAAAAAGTTAACTGAGGATGATYTGGTACTTCTTGAAAAGATATTGTCTCTAATATGTAATAGTTCTTCAGAGAAACCCACAGCCCAGCAACTTCAGATTTTGTGGAAAGCCATTAACTGGCCTGAAGGTAAATAAGCACTCTTCCACATATAACTAGAAAGCTTTTATTTCAATCCCTACAACTGGTGTTTCAAGATTAAATAAAAATTAACCTGATAAGTTTGAATCCAAATTGTGAAAACTTCACAAAAAGGATTCACTATATCATTGTAATTCATAATCTTGTTTTGATTACATGCCTTATGAGAATCTAAAGGTACAAGCTGAGTATACCTTATCTAAAATGCTTAAAGCCAGAAGTGCTTTGTATTTGGGAGTTTTTCAGATTTTGAAATATTTACAGACTTTACCAGTTGAGCATCCTTAATCTGAAAATTCAAAATCCGAAATACATTTTGAAAACCTGGCATTTCAGACTCTGCATTTCAGATCAAGAATACTCCATCAGTATCCAGGCATGGTGGTGCATACATGTAATCTCAATAGCTCTGGGGGCTGAGGCAAGAGAATTGCAAGTTCAAAGCCAACCTCAGCAACTTAGCTAGGCCTTAAGAAATTCAGTGAGGCCTTGTCACTAAATAAAACATTTTAAAAGGCTAGAGGTTTGGTTCAGTGGTTAAGTGTCTCTGAGTGTAATCCCCAGTATGGGGGGCGGGGGGAAACAAACCTCAATCTGTCGTATCTGTCATATAATGAATGATTCCTGTATATACAACAGTTTGTATACCATTTCAGCATTTGTGCATCCCCTGCAGGTGATCCAAGAAATTTTTTGTGATTTTTCATCTTAGGCTACAAACACTTGCTATATGATATTTGATCTCTCTATTATGTCAATTTACATCTTAATTGCAAAAGTGTCCTCTCCCCCATTTTTTTCATGTCATTGATTTATTGGATAAAAGGTCATTTTGTTCTACAAAATGTCCCACTTGGTAGATTTGACTGATTGCTCACTGTGTTCCACTGTATTTTTTTTTTCTAGTGGCATTATTAGATTTTATTTTCATTGGCTTATTACTTATTTTCGAAGATCCTTTATCTTTTTTAAGATTGTTTGTAAATGATGCTGCATAYTACTTTTATATTGTGATATCAGAAATATCAGGTTTTCTCACTTGGAGTAATGCCAAGATTATTGCATGAATTCAGATGTATCTGTCCAATCCCTTGATTACAAAGCTCCCACCAATCTATGAGTATTCTTATGGCATTTGTTGGTTGAATTGTTCTCTAAAAAACTTTCCCTGTTCAACCCATAGTATTGTTATAGGAATTTTATAAACAAAATCCCCATTACATTAATTCAGTTCATTATTGACTACTGTGTGTCATGCTAAGTTACCTTATTTTATAGAATATCTGGATTTATAGCAATAAATTCAGTAAATATGAAAAACCARCTAATGTATTTTCCAAAAATATGTGTTTTGTGGAGCAAGCACATAATTTTTTTTAACATTTTCTAAGATGAGCATATCTTAATTTTGTAGCAGAAAGAAATAATCCTTTAAGAAAGCTTAATAGGAGCTAGGTGAGGTGGTACATGTGTGTAATCCCAGATGCTTGGGAGTCTGAGGCAGAAGAATTTCAAGTTAGAGGCCATCCTTGGCAACCTACCAAGACCTTGTCTCAAAATAAGAAGGGCTGGGAATTGTAGCTCAGTGATAGTGTGTCCCTGGGTTCAATGCCCAGTACCACAATGAAAAACAATTTTTTTTAAATTAATACTCAAAGGAATTTTCTAGATTTTCATAAACATTAATGAAATTTTCTTTTTAATAGATATTGTCTTCCCTGCACTTGACATTCTTCGGTTGTCAATTAAACATCCCAGTGTGAATGAAAACTTCTGCAATGAAAAGGAAGGGGCTCAGTTCATCAGTCATCTTATCAATCTACTGAACCCTAAAGGAAAGCCAGCAAACCAGCTGCTTGCTCTCAGGACTTTTTGCAATTGCTTTGTTGGCCAGGCAGGACAAAAGCTCATGATGTCCCAGAGGGAATCACTGATGTCCCATGCAGTAGAACTGAAATCAGGGAGCAATAAGAACATTCACATTGCTCTGGCTACATTGACCTTGAACTATTCTGTTTGTTTTCATAAAGACCATAACATTGAAGGGAAAGCTCAATGCTTGTCAGTAATTAGCACAATCTTGGAAGTTGTTCAAGACCTAGAAGCCACTTTTAGACTTCTTGTGGCTCTTGGGACCCTTATCAGTGATGATTCAAATGCTGTACAATTAGCCAAGTCTTTAGGTGTTGATACTCAAATAAAAAAGTATGCCTCGGTATCAGAACCAGCTAAAGTAAGTGAATGCTGTAGGCTTATCCTAAATTTGCTGTAGTATTGGGGAATGGGGGTTGAGATTTTAAATTGATTAGTGTTTTTTTTTTCCTCACATTTTTCATGACTGATTAAAGATTATTAAAAAAAATACTGTGGATTAAGTTAAAGTTCAGATCTTGTAAACTGGCAAGGAGGGGAAACAAAGGAGAAATAAAATTTTTGCACTGATGAATTGTGAGATTTTCCTGTGTAATATRGATAAATTTTCAAGAATATAGAAACAAATTAAGAAAAAACTGTAATCAACAACAACACCATCACATGTCATTTTCTCCATACCTTAGCCATTCAGAAGAATACAAGGGGTTTTATTTATATAATCTGTTTTTACTAAACTGTTAGTTGTTGGTGGTTATCTTTTATTTTAACTTCTTCGATTAGTTTCATTGTTGGGTTCTATGAACATTACTGACATATTTCAAGGTTTTGTTTTAACATTTACTATAAATTTTTAAATATTGTTATACATTGAAAAGATAATTTCTTGATTTAAGTCATTTATAAATAGAAAGTATATTTGTTTTCTAGCTAATTTTTAGATGAAAAATCAAATTGATAAGTTAGATCATATATCAATTTAGACGAGAGGCCTTAAGTTGCATATAGATTATATCTAGTTTCTTTTCCCCTTCCATGTTTAAGATAGCTTCATTTTCATTCCAGCAATGATATTTGTTTACTTTCAGTTATTTCCATTATTTAAAACATGTTCAATTTTATTAGGCACTGTGTAAGCAAACCTATATCATATCTATGTTATTTGAAAGTCCAAAGGCTGTTGTGTGAAATTAATGTCTTGGATCCTCCAATATGACCCATGCAGTATACTACACACTTTGACATTTACTTCTCGAACCAGCTTTAAATGAGGGATGGTATTATCTCTGTTGCAAGTCTAAAGATAATGGAATGAATCATGATAGGAGAAAAGAAAGCAAACCCAAGAGTGAGTTAACTATTAAAAGTACTAAAATTTCTCAGAGAAGGTGGTCAAAGAACATCCTTTCTGAACATCTTAGCAACTAAAACAAAGAACCATCCATTAATTTTAGATGATTGGTTGTAATCTAAGACAATCTAATTTCTTAMGCAAATTTTTATTTTTTATGTGGGAGAAATGTTTTCACCAAAAGGACTTGGCCTAAAATCATGAGCAACATTCTTAGCATTTGTGGTATTACCATGGGGGTTTCCTAGCCAAATTGAACTCTGAAAAGGCCTTTTTTCCTAGCATGGGAAGAAAAGTTTCTGATTGTTTAGATTAATCAAGGAAAAACTTCTGGATATCAAAAGGAAATCAGAAAAATGTAAATAGAGGAGGTATGTACCTTGATAAGTATTAAATCGTACCTTCTTGGTGTGCACCTGGACTTTAAATATTGTTTGCTAGCTCAGATGCCTATACTTTATTTTTTGTTGAATCAGGATTTAAATTGTTACATCAAACTTAAATGACAAAACTAAGAATTTAACCTGGATCAGACTGGTTCCATTACAATACACTGCCCTCCTAATATGTCAAGTCTACCATGTAATTATAGGTACAATTTGGCTGCAATATTTTGAAAAACTAGGTACCCTTGAATAATTGGACATAGTCTTATTTAACAATATGAGTCCACTCTACACAGTTTAGGGGTGGCAAACTGTAAACACTGTTTGCCTTTTACTATGGTGAAATATTCTTAAAACATTTTTATTATCTTATTTCATGTTTATACAGTTTAGCAAAAGGAAAAAAAATAATTCCACTTGAAGGATGTATTAAATAGTGGTTTAATTATTCTTTAACGGTTTTACGTTTCTTTAAACTTTTCTGTGATTCTCCTAATGTGTTTATTTCTAAATATGAAAGTAATAAACATTCATTGAGTAAAATACACATTCACCTCACCCCTCCAAATAAAAATTGCCTGTAATCTTATTGTCTAGAGAGAACCATTCTTAATATCTTATGRCATGTTGATATGTATGTAAATATGTGTCATTTTTGTATCATGCAAACTGTTCGATCTGATTTTTAAACTTAACATATAGTACACATCTCCACCTATTAATAAATGTAATATTTCATTATATGAATATACCCATGACCTACTATCTGACACTGTTTATAATTCTTTGCTATCGAGCAGTGCTATGACAAATTTCACAAGGAATGTTTTGTAATTGTAATTGATGAATCAATTTAATGAATGTATTTAAGACTGATACCCATGGCCAAATCACCTCCAGTGGAATAACTCTTAACAAGTAGTATACTTCAGATTGCATTTGAAAGTCCATTGCCACTGGGTGTGGTGGCATATGCCTGTAATCCCAGCTGAGGCAGAAACATGTGAGTTCAAAGCCGGCCCCAGCCACTTAGGCCACAAGCAACTCAGTGAGACCCTGTCTCCAAGTAAAATGCAAAATAAAACTAGTGAGTGGTTAAGCGCCCCCGAGTTCAATCCCSAATACCTCCCCCCAGCAAAAAAATAGAAAAGAAATCCCATTGCCTGCAAAAGACATAATTATGATCTCCATTTCATAATTATTCACTTTTTAGATACATATGTTTGTGTTGTGGTTCTCTTATGACTAGCTGAGTTTGATATAGCAATCAATATATGACCAAATAGCAATGTGATTAAATGTTATGTATTTCATAATCTTCCTAAGTGATAAAAGACACATATCTGAAAATATTTCAAAGATAGTTCTGGGGATGAGTTGGAGATAGGTTCCTTAGTAATACCATTATGTACATTATGATTATTCTGTAAGGAAATTATAAAATGAATAGAGGACTATTTGTGATGTATCGTCATTCCTAGAGGTCTTGAGAGAAATTATCCACTTGAGATTAGAAAATGTTAATCTTCTAAAAAAGTAATTTGAAATTATTCAAATTTTAATTCATTTTTTCTGTAGAAAATTCTATGCAGTACAGTTATATGACAAATTTGAAGACTTTTAATAGTTAATACCATTTTCCCATGAGTTTTTCCTTTAATTTTTAATGCAAATGCTCATACATTAAAGTACTCTTCAATTTATGAAGGGTTATAGCCTGATAAATCTATCACAAATTGATAGTATCTTAAGTCAGAAACACACTTAATACACCAAACCTGCTGAATATCATAGCTTAGCAATCCCAGTGAACTGTAGAGTATTGTGTGCTCACATGATTGTGTAGTTGACTGGGAGCTGCAATTTATTGCCCCTATCCAGCATCATGAGAGTAGTTTACTACATATAACTAGCCTGGGAAAAGTTCAAAATATGAAGCAGAGTTTTTCTTACTGCTTTCACATCATCAAAAAGTAAAAAAAAAAAAAAAAAAAAGTAGAACCATTGTAAGTTAGGAACTATATAATCTACAATTGTTAATGTTTTGTCATATTTTCTCTCTCTGCATATAAACTTTCTTTTGAAACTGCTTAAAATTAAATTGCAGAGGCAATGTGCAATGACACTCAGCTGTAATTCCAGCTATTTGGAAAACTGAGGCAGGAAGATTATAACTTTTGAGACCAGCCTACGCAGCTAAGTGAGAACCTATCTCAAAAAGGGCTGAAGTGTATATTATCCATTCATCTGTTTGAAGGGCACCTAGTTTGGTTCCACAGCTTAGCTATTGTGAATTGAGCTGCTTTTAAACATTGATGTGCCATGTCACTAGTGTATGCTGATTTTAAGTCCTTGGGGTATATGCCAAGGAGTAGGATAACTAGGTCAAATGGTGGTTCCATTCCAAGTTTTCTGAAGAATCTTCATTTTGCTTTCTAGAATGGTTGCGCCAATTTGGAGTCCCACCAGCAATGTATGAGTGTACCTTTTCCCCCACATCCTTGCCAACATTTATCRTTACTTATATTCTTGATTGCTGCCATTCTGACTAGAGTGAGATGAAATCACAGTGCAGTTTAATTTGCATTTTTCCAATTGCTAGACATGCTGAGCATTTTTTCATATATTTGTTGACTGATTACAACTGGCTTAGTTATCTTAAGTTATTTTGGCAAGAAACTCCATGGGTGATATGTATTTGCTCTTTTGACTTGATTGTATCATATCTGAACTTCCTTAAGGAAGCCTTCTGTGAAGTGTCTGTTCAGTTCCTTTTTGCATTTATTGATTGGGCTTTGTCTTTTTGGTGTTAAGTTTTTTGAGTTCTTTATATATCCTGGAGATTAATGCTCTATCTGAGGTGCAGGTGGCAAAGATTTTCTCCCATTCTGTATGCCCTGTTCACATTCTGATTGTTTCCTTTGCTGTGAAGAAGCTATTTAGTTTGATACCGTCTAGCTTATCAATTCCTGATTTTACTTCTTGCATTTTAGGAGTCTTGTTGAGGAATTTGGTTCCTAAGCCGACATGGTGGAGATTTGGGCTTACTTTTTCTTTTAGTAGGTGCAGAGTCTCTGGTCTAATRCCTAGGTCCTTGATCCACTTTGAATTGATATTTGTGCAGGGTGAGAGATAGGGGTTTAATTTCATTTTGCCACATATAGATTTCCAGTTTTCCCAGCACCATTTGTTGAGAGGCTATCTCTTCTCCAATGAATGTTTATGGCACCTTTGTCTAATATGTTATAACTGTATGTATTTAGGTTTGTCTCTGTATCATCTATTCTGTACCATTGGTCTTCGTGTTTGTTTTGGTGCCAATGCCATACTGTTTTTGTTACTGTAGGTCTGTAGTATAGTTTAAGTCTGGTATTGATGCCTCCAAGAATCAGGGCATTTTTAATAACATTCTTTATAATTGTAATATCATTGCACTTAAGAAAATTACTAATTTCATAATATCTAATATCTAGTCYATGTTTCAGATGTTCTTATTTGCTCGAAGAATGCCTTTTGCAACTTATGCTTTGAAAGGATCTAACCTAAATAATCAAGACTTATTTATTGTATTAGTTATATAGTCATATGTCTCTTTAGTCTCAATCTAGAACAGCCCATCTTGTTTTTAAAATATTATCTTTGAAGAGTCTAGGCTACTCTAGAATGTGAAGCCCCACAGTTTTTATTTATACTATATACTTCTAAAACCCTTATGTATTATTTATTTTTGCTTAATCAATCACTCCAAAAATTAATGGCTTAAAAAATATGGACTGGGAGGTATAGTTCAGCAACAGGCTACTTGCCGTGCATGCACAAATCCCTGGGTTTGATCTTGAGCACTTAAAAAAAAAAAATTCCCCCCACTTATTTTCTCACAGCTGCTAGCCTGTTTCACATGACACTAAATCAAGGCATCAGTTAAGGCTGATAAGTCACTTTTAAAGACTCTGGGGACAGATTTATTTTGAAGCTCACATGAAGCTGATGTTCATGTCTTCTTGGGTCCTTGGACTGAGTTCCCAGCTAACTGTTGACCAGAAGGGTTGTCCTTGTGTTTTGTTTTTCTTTTTCTT